TCTTAAATATGTAATCTTCCCAAAATAAATTACGATTTTTTCTCTTTTACGTGTTAGCTCTGTGCATAAAAAATAAAAATAAATAATTAAGTAAAGAAATGCACTTTTTCTAAAAAAGCTTTCACTTCTCCAATTTTCTTAAATTTTCAAATTTCAATGGAACTTTATAAAGGCCGACACCCCGAGTCATGGCCGCTAGTACACAACCAAGTGTCGTCCATCCCATAACTATTCCAACAGCTTGGTGATGAATATTTTATCTGATTAGACGTGCATTAAAATCAATCATGAACAAGGAAAGATTGGGTTTTTCTCCAATATCCACCAAAAACCTTCTCTTGAAGTCGACCCAATACAATCCCGATAAAAAAGAAAAATTAGAAAAAATTCTACCGCTCGTTCGCAATAGTAAATTGGTCGCCAACTTCTAGTTATGATTCTACAACAATTTTTTAAGACGAAAATTGTTCGAAATTATGTTAGATCATCACATGGTTCGTGCAATTTTTATGAAACTAAAATTTGATTCTAGAACTTGTGTCGTGCCCATTAATTTGAAGTAGGGCATATTTTAATGAGAGTTACATAACAGCTTGACGAGGGTTCGAATGGTCCACCGTTAACGACTGATTATGAAACTATAATGAGATGTGGGGGTATTAACTTGTTCCTTTTTAAAGTTTGAGGATCTACTTAAATAATGAGGCATCACTAGTGCAAATTTCCTAAAAAAGGCAAATAAAGGAGCCCCGCCTCCGTATCCACAAGTAGATAACAAAAGTGATTATAATATAACTAGTGTCAAATGTGGGGGTAAAAGCGAAAAAATAACAAAGTTATGTCCTAAATTACAAATACGATTTATCATAAAAGAAAAGAAAAAGTGGAATATTCCAGCACTTACCCTTATTGGTAGCTTTTTTTTGCACTTTCTTTTAGTCTACAAAAGCTTTCTAGACACACAAGAATCTTGCTAGACATTCTAGCAAACCAATGAAAAATAAGCAAAAAATTATTTTCACCATCAACTTATTTTACTTTTTCAATAAAAATATTATGATGGGGGGATAAATAGTAAGAATTTCATATTTTCAATCCGTTATCAATTCATTATTTAAAAAAATATTTTTTTAACTTTGGTTGTTAATAAGATTTTAAATATTTAAAACTCAAAACTGAAAACATTTAGTTTCAGTATTAATTAAAGTTTAAATACGTGCACTCACTTTATTCTGTACGGTAAAATATGACACTTCACATGTCTTTTAATATAAAGAAATTAAGGGTCGTGTTAAGGTTTGTTAAAGTCTCTATAGCACTCGAAATTAATCGGACCATTTCAATCTTTTCTTAATAAATTTACTAAATTGTTCATAAGTGCTTGAACTTGGGGCCATCTACCATCAACTATCATGAATATGACTCTCACTATGTCGACATGCACGAGCCAGATACCCCGGTCGCAATTTTCTTTAATAAAACAACTTATATTGCACTTTCATACTCAATATTTTCCAAGTTTGGCGAAGAAATTAATGCAAAACCAATTGTCCTTAGTAGGGTAATTTAGTCAATATTAATTATTGATTTCTTGTAGCCTCCACTAGACCTGAACTTTTACAACACAATTTCAGACACAGAAAAAAAGAGTTGGTTTTTTTCTTCTGCTAAAAAGGTCACCAATTGTACATGGACTGCAATGACAGGTGGGACTAAATATCCTGTTCTTGATCAACTTCTTTTAACAGAATTCTTTATTTATTCAAGAAAAAGAATGGGGGAAAAACAGTGGGATTCAGAACCTCAATGCAGATACTTAACAAATGCAGGCATTTGAAAATCTAATTTGAAAGATTAAACAAAAATAAATTATGGGTTTAATTATCTGTTAATGAATATAATCTAATTTGATGTTACAATAACAGAACATATTCCCAGAAAGTAGAAATTACTGTCAATTTGTGTAAAAAAAACCTGTTTGACCCAACTGCCTAAAAACACCTTCTTTTTCCAACTAATTATCAGCATTAGATCCAGGAAATAAGCAAAAGAAAAGTAGTTTTGTGCCAAAAATTTCAAGTTTAAGCAATTTATTGCGTAATGAGTGCATCAGAAACCCAGCTAATTCATGACTAGGCTAAACTCATCACCATCATCATCAACTGGAGCAGGGAGATTGAGATCTATGATCAAAGTTTCACCAATTCTTGAAAATGGTTTAGCAGGAGGAGGAGGAGTGATAGAATTCACAGTTGCTGAAATTGCTCCCCCACCCATAAAATGTGATCTCTTATGCCCACCAAGAGCTTGCCCTGACGAAAAAACTCTGAAGCAAACAGGACACTCATGTATCTTCTCCTCCACTGCCGATGTTGAACAGCCATTTTTCCCGGTTTCCACCACCACTCGAGGTGGTGTCTCCGCCGTTAAGTTGACTTTAATCTTCTTGTGATTCGCCCTGTGTCCTCCAAGAGCCTGATATGACCTGAAAACTTTGTTACACGTTTCACATCTGTATTTTCCTCGAACTTTAGTACTGTTAGCCACCTTAACTGCACCAGAATCCTCGGAATAATCATCATCTTCATACTTTTTCCTCTCTGTATCCTCTTCTTCATATTCATATTCTTGTCTATGCCAGGTATCCCTGGACAACATCATTAAGCAATGAGCAACATCTTCTTCTGGTTTGTCTGAGATTGAACTCAAAGGTTGATCAGACAACTCATTACAATTAGGACTAATCTTTTCTCCCTTTTCACACTTGGATTTTTTCATCAACTCTGTTTCTTTCACAGAAATTATTGTTTTCCTAATCCTTTTAGAACGCCTGAATATCGGGTTCCGGTTCGGCTTCAGCTTCGACTCTGTTTCACTTTCTCCGTCTTGAAGCACAACAAAATCTGATGCAGAAAAGAACCTTGGATCTACAAAACGGATAGTTTTCTTCGGGTTTTCTCTCAACCCATAACATAAAACCTCCTTTTCTATATTTTCTTCCTCTTCTTCTGATGTTGATGAAGATGATTGAAAGTCATCAGACGGTTGAGAATCATGTTCAAAGGTCTGAACTTTTTTCTCATTTTGTGCTGCATAACAGTTCATCTTGTGAGATCTCATATGCCCTCCAAGTGCTTTTCCATTAGCAAAATTTCTCAAGCAGAGTTTGCACCTGTATTTCTCCATGAAAAATTTTCAAGTTCTCACGCAGTCAGTGTTTTTTTTTTCTGTCTAGGAGAAGTATAGTGTGTGTTGAAACTAAAAGGAGTAGGTGACAAGCATTCCTTCATCCACCAAGGAATATATACACAAAACACTGTGAAATATTGTGTGTATATGTAACATCTTTTCAAGAATTCATGAAATTGGATTTCACATTTGACATTATTTCTTTAAAACGGCAAAGAGTAATTAATAAGATAAAACAACTTAATTAAAGCATAGTGCATCAAGAATATGTAACATTTTCTTGACATCTCCACAATCCCTAAATAGCCATCCACTAATATATTTTTCCCTTTGTAAGTAATATAATTGTTTTCTCCAATGTTTTCAATTTTAATTAATTAAATTCTTTATCTAATTGTGATAATTATTATATCGGTATTGCAGTAAGTACAACGAGATTTCTAAAATAGTATGCTCGATTATCGTTTATACGAGATTATAAAAGACATTGAATTAAATGTCGAAATTATTACATCGGCATTGCAACAAGTAAAATGAGATTACTAAAATAGGATTTTTCGATTGTCTTTTATAACCCTCCTACATAATAGTGTCCTAATTTTGTAACATAAGTGTTAATAATGAATTAAGCCCATGTTTTATAGAAATTATAATCTAAATTTTTATCAAAGTCAAATTCAACAATTAATTTTAATTAAATATTTCATGGATCCCATAAATTTTCAACATCAATTTTTATCAAAAATTGCTCAAAATCTGATTTTAATTTTCACCAAACGGGGACTAAATCAGATTGCAAATCTTCAGATTCTGGACCTTTTTGCCGGTGGATGTAAAAGGGGGAACAACAATGAGTGTATAGAGTTTTGGTGTGACCAAATTCAATTTTATATTTAATTAATTATGACTAAATAAGTGGATTGTCGATTTTTAATTAACTTATTTGATTTTTTTCTTTTTGAACAATCGCTTTAATTTTGGATCTTTGATCGAAATGTGTGGAAGGAGAAAGTAGCTTCTCCCTTTGAGAGTGGAATTTTTGTAGGGAAGTAAACGCCGTTATGTTAGGGCAAATGGTGGACCTAGTCCCCCACAATTTCCTCCTCTTTGATTATTGCACAATTTTAGAGTTTAAATCATGCCTTAATCCAACTTAATTTCCATTACATTATTATTAATTTCAAAAGCTTATGTCATTTTGGTTTGAGTTTCAATTTGTATTCATTCAATTTTCTCTTTTGAAAGTCTGTTTTAAAATTATAGAAAACATGTTTGACTTGTTGAAAAATCATTTTTCAAAATAGAAATTGAAAAATAGTTCGATTTGAGATTTCTAGAAAAAATCATTTTATAATATTTTATTTAATGAATTTAATTATTCGGTACAATAATACAATTTTATGCTAATAAATTATCGAGTTTCCCTCTACAAAAATATAATGCAAACAAATAATAGAATGACTTGGTAAAAAATAGGAAATAAACATCATTTGGCACCCCTCCAATGTTGTTTAAGATGTTTAGGCACACCATAATTAAATAATGATCCCGACTAGTGACTTCACTATCTCCTAAATCATAAGACGATTTTCCTTGGATGCATGCAAGTTTTTCTTTCAGGTGTAACGAATTAAGTTCAATTTCCTCGTTCCTCGTACAAATTGTTGATGACCATTACGCAATACATGTTTCAAGTTTTTCACGTTTAGTGATCTTGGAGTTCATTAGGCATCATATCATCTCGTCAATGAGCATTTGTAACTTCATCATCATCATCATCATTTTTTACACGTACCTAACTATTTCTTCCTTTACAACTTCAAATGGTGTCATTTGAGTAAATTGACTATGCTACCTTGGGGGATTTGGATGGCCCTCGTGGCAACCTCCCATTGTTAGCCTGATTGATACAAAGATGTGCTGCTTCTAGGTGGCCCTTGACCGTTGGATCTAATTAAGGGCCGATTAATTATTGGGTTAATATGACTTTTGGCTTATACGGTTCATTAACTTGGTTTTTTCTGATTTTCGAGTCTCCAAAGTATTATCTTCAACTTTTGTTCATCTTCCTTCTCTTCTTTGATTGGTGATTATTGTGAAGAGATTAGTGTAATCCTTGTTGTGTAGGTCTGCTACACTAGTTTTAGCCCTACAATATTGGCATTTATGTATGATATTGTGCAGATTCTCGTTCGTTTGATAGGTTGAAGTTAGAAATTTCGTTTTTACGAGATTTTGATAATTTGGGACTAAAAACTGTGTCTGATTGGCTGACTCTCTCTCTCTCTCTCTAAGGCAATTGATGTATATATATATTTAATCGGGCTTACCCCTGAGCCTTCCAAACTAGGCCTTTAGTGTTGAACTGGGTGAACATACTGTGCGTTCTTACGTTTTTCATTATGCTATTTATTGGTTTTTACTATTACTTCGATCATTTTGGGGTCAAAATCCCCAACACTGTATTTTTCACATTCATCTGTGCTTATAAACTTGAATTATATTTGCAAATTTGAGCGAAATTCTAATAATGTAAAAATTGTTATTGTAAGTAAAACTCAAGTTTGTAGGCATTTGAAGCAAAAATGACGATTTTGAAGCCTAATTATAGTTGAATTGAAGCAATTGAATGCTAACTGAATTGTGCGAAATTAATAAGAAACATACGAGGAAAGCTGCAAGTTTCGGGAGTGAGGTTTAGGGACCAACATGGAAGCTTTTGAAAGTTTCGGGATTGATATTGAAGATTAAGGCCAAAAAGGATCAAAATAGGATGAAAATCATGTAGTATCGTCTCTGACATCAAGCAAGGAGAAATTTTATTACTTTTATTTTCCATGTTTTTGTGCGTTTCAACGTCAAAGATACGTTCTCAACATCAAGCAAGGAGAAATTAGTTTGAGCTATTATTTTTTAATAAGGTTGACAATTTAATATAGAACCACATGTTTTAGTATAGTATCCGAGCCGAATAAATTTCAACGAACTTTGATCCGACTAAAACTTTGATGAGCGTACAAATTTCAAGATTAATTTTCTGAAATAAGTCACCATCCCAAGGCGGCATGTTAACTGATATATCCCAAATCGATTAATTAATATCAAAAGATAAACCATATAGTAGGGTTTAATTACTCTAAAAATGTTGATATTTGAAGACAGAAAATCAAATATAAAAATGGGGTAGTGTGGCTAGCCGAGATGTTAGGATAGAACAAATTATGTCCCATTATAAATTATATTAGAAAGTCAATGAAGAGGACACACCTCTGACTCTATTTTGGAGTGGGGAACGAATGGAAAAAGAAAAGTCAATGTAGAAATTCATCTTTTTCTTTGGGTTCATTAATTTGCAATAAAGAAATTGGAGTCCCTTTAATTTCCACGATGGTCGCATTAAGTGCTGCTTTTGCAAATTGCGTTGACTAAGGATTTTTTTTTTTTTTTTTTTTGCGGATAAGAATAGTAAAATATTATAATTTTATCACATTAAATAATTAAGTAGCTAGGGCAACTTAAATAAGGCAGTGTGGCGAGTCGAAATTTTATAATTAAGTTTGAATTCAACTTGATTGGTTTTTTCCTGCGGTGTATTTTATGTGGAACTTAGGTATAAATACAATATTGAAATAATAAAAAAATAAAATCAAAGAGAATTTAACGCGTACACGTGTGAAACGAATGGCATAAATAAAATTTTTACATATCGCAAGTTTTAAAATAATAATAATAATAATAATAATAATAATAATAATAATAATAATCATTTTTCAGTTCGATTAATCTCTCCCAAACAAACACCAAGCGATTTGATTCTCTAATTATCGTTGACTAAATACAATTTATATTTATTTTTTTAGGGTAAGAAAAGTAAAGTTATAATACCTTTAATTTCATCACCTTAAATATGGCAGTGTGGGGAATCAAGATTTAAGTTTGTTTATTTGATTTTAATTAAATTATAAAGTTGTTTTAAGTTCAAATTCAACTTGATTGAATTTTTGTATATAACATAGGTGGAAATATAATGTTTTTTTTTTAATTACATTGGGGGAGGGGGATATAATGTTGAAATAGCCCAAAAAAAAAAAAAAAAAATCAAAGCGTAAGAAATACGTATTATTTAGGGTATATTTGGTCCTCCCTTAATAATTTTTTTAGGTCCCCACTTATTAATTTTGTTCTCAATGCCGTGTTTGATTTACAATGGAGTAGAAATAATTATTGTATTAATTATTTGGTTTAAAAGCTAAAATGTATGCAATTATATACAAGAGTAATGTTATTCATCTGCAGTGGGGATGAAAACATAGTCTATGCGATTTTAAATGTTATGTTAAATGAAAGATGAAATTAAATGACTTATTTAATTTCACATATCATTTAATTTCACATTGAAGCCATGTAAACTGTGTTTTCATCTCCAGTTGGGATGAATAGTATTACTCTATATACAGTGTTCATAAACAAATATATTTAGACAATGGTATCGTGTTAACACATTGCTAGTTTCAAAGAGTTATTTTTAAAGAAATTTTAAATTGTCGAAAGTGTACATTCCTTGTTCCTCCATGTTGGCAGAGAGACAAGGTGACGGAGCTCAAATCTGGTGGCTGAGAAGCCTACAAAAAATATTTGTTGGTAGGAATATGTTGTAGAAAGATTCCACACAAAAAAGAATGAAGAAGAAGCAAAGAATAAAAATAAGAATTTGTAGTTAAAAAGTAATGAAAAATTTTAGATTTGTGTGTAATATTATTTTATTTGAAAAATGTATAATTGAAATAAAGAAAAAAAATTGAGAATGAAAATGAGTGTCAAACAGGGCCTAGTGTTTTCTATCAAAGTTTAAAAAACAGTATTGAGGAAATTTGAATATGAAGGGACGAATGTAAATTCTATATTTTGGAATGAAGATTTTATCTCAAGTTATTGAATTATATTTTTGATATGATAATCTATCATGTATTTATAGATTTCAATCAACACTCACGAAATAGTGGCAAAAATTCAAGAAAAGTTACAAGCTTTTTACCAAACGCAACCAAAAATTTAAACAAAAAACCAGCATAACGACTATTTTTTAGTTCTATTCAACCGCACAGAACAAAACTATGCGTTCGCATAGATAAATCACTTGCACGGCATATAAGCCCTGCATGTTTATATGAGACCTCGGGCCACAAAGGCCGATGCAGTCTCGTAGGCCAAAGTTTTGGCCTCCAATCCTTTTCTCATTCCAAAGCATATTTTATTGATTTTGAATAACAATTTCAATAGAATACATCAATGCTTATACCTTAAATCATGGCCTCCAACGAAATTGCTAGAAAGTGCGAACCAAAATCCATTATACGAAAACAAAAATAAGAATATTTAAAAGCATGTCCAAAAGTGATCATCAAGAACGAAATGTGCAAATTAATGAGATGTTGTTGGTAAGAATGATATAAATAAAAGTTGCAGATATAGGCGCGACAATAATTAATTATTGTAAATTTTTAGTACAATTAAAAAGTGCTGCAACAAAAGAAAATGACAATATAACCGCACCCTTATTAATATCTTTTATTGATAAACCCTAGATTGCCTTATTTTTACAATCTCAAAAATAAGTCCCGATTTTGTGACACACGAGAAGCCAAACATATCTTCGTCGTAAATTGGACGTTGATCTACACATGTTCAGAATTTCTTTTAAGCATTACGATGACACTTAAAGACCACACTTTTCAACTAGTATCACGTTGTTGCTGTTGTTGTTGGTATTGAAAATCAAATACATTGCAGAAAAATTATGAATAATTTCATGTATGATAAAAAAATGTTGTCTGGGCATGGTGTGCTTATTTTATGGAGTGTGTTTGATTAATAAGGAATGTTAAACTCTTCTCTAACTAAAAGAGAGTGGTTCTAACTACCAAACCTATTGTAAGCCAACAAAATGTATGTGTTTCCTCTTGTTTGTCGGTTGGTTAACGCTTCATTTTTTAAGCTTTGCACTAAATTTATTTGGCGAAAAAATTTAGGGCCCATTTGATACGATTTTCGAAAAGTCAAAAGTTATTTTTTAAATTAAGAAACTACTTTTAAACACATTTGAATAATTTTTCGTATGTGCTATTTCTGGTTAAAAGAGCTTTAGAAGAAGTTGATCTGACATAGTTTTCTCATAAATATCTTCTACAGAAGCAGAAGCCCGATAAAGAAGCCCTTAATAAAGAAAGTTGCTTTTTATTTTAATATTATTGTAAGGAAATGATTATTAGCAATAAGTCTCTAATTTGATACAAATTGATCTAAGTCAAGTCCAAATGAGGTTCAATTGAGGAAGATGAACTTGTTAGTTGTAAGGTCCCTTTTTCCAGTTGTTTGGAACATATGCACTCTAAGATTTATATTTTTTCTTCTAAATTTTAATCTTTTTGCGACGGTGCAAAAAGAGTGTATTTTTAAGAAAAATTAATCGAAAATCAAATGGTGAAAAATCTTTATAAGAAAAAGTTTTGATAACATTAAAATTCACGAACTTCCATAGATACGTAAGTTTTTTAGTGGAAGAAAACACATATACTTCGTGAATTTGCCTAAATACATAAGAATGCATTTTTTGTTTATAGCAATTTCTTTTAATTGGAAATTGTTTGAATAATGTAGTACCCATTTATGCCAAACCCTAACAACACAACCTACCAACACCATTGCCACAACCGTCAAACACCATTGATATAAGATGGTGTTGACAATTCTCCACGATGGTCGACTACTTAATNATAGTTTTCTCATAAATATCTTCTACAGAAGCAGAAGCCCGATAAAGAAGCCCTTAATAAAGAAAGTTGCTTTTTATTTTAATATTATTGTAAGGAAATGATTATTAGCAATAAGTCTCTAATTTGATACAAATTGATCTAAGTCAAGTCCAAATGAGGTTCAATTGAGGAAGATGAGCTTGTTAGTTGTAAGGTCCCTTTTTCCAGTTGTTTGGAACATATGCACTCTAAGATTTATATTTTTTCTTCTAAATTTTAATCTTTTTGCGACGGTGCAAAAAGAGTGTATTTTTAAGAAAAATTAATCGAAAATCAAATGGTGAAAAATCTTTATAAGAAAAAGTTTTGATAACATTAAAATTCACGAACTTCCATAGATACGTAAGTTTTTTAGTGGAAGAAAACACATATACTTCGTGAATTTGCCTAAATACATAAGAATGCATTTTTTGTTTATAGCAATTTCTTTTAATTGGAAATTGTTTGAATAATGTAGTACCCATTTATGCCAAACCCTAACAACACAACCTACCAACACCATTGCCACAACCGTCAAACACCATTGATATAAAACGATGTCGACAATTCTCCACGACTGTCCGCTACTTAATGTGCACTCCCCAGGACGTCGACCCCATGAGGCCCACTACGCTCACATAGACTGTCTACCACTAGGAGGCAGTCGACCCCCATGAGGCCCTCTATGTTCACAGGGCCGCCTACCACCATGCAACCAAAATCATACTTAGCCAAATAAATGGCAATGAGTTGGACAAAAACCTCCCAACAGTGAACATGGGCATAATCAACCGCTTGACGAGTGGGGGTCACAACTCTAGAACGTGGAGAAAGTGGGAAGGTTTACGTGGGACACGTGGCACCAGCAACCGCTTAAAGCACGCACAGCAACAGGTGCCTATAAATACCTCCAAGGTGAGAAATGTAGCTGCTTCTTGAAACCCGAATTTCAATATTATCTCTCCATATTCTTCAATATTGAACACTAATTCTCACGCCGAAAGTACAATGGGGGAAAGAGCCCTGACCTCATTTTGCAGGTGGTAAATACCGAACTGAGCAGTCGGAACACCAGTCACATCCGAGAGAACACTCACTATCGACTCCAACCACCACCACCATCTCATTTTACTACCATTACGTCCTCCCTTTCCACCATTCTCAAAATTGGACATTTTCCATTCTTAAAAACTCACATTTTATCAAAAAAACAGTGCCACTTTCTGAAAAGTCTCAAGTCTTTCGGGTCGAGAAACAAAAGCTGGTCCCTTTGTGGTTCAAGTGTGATTAAAATACAAGTTATATAAGAACAAATATTGTGACACAATTGCTACAGACGTTGAGCCACGAGAACGCTGAAACTAAAGTCTCGTGTAGTAATGAAATTTCTTCATAATCAACATTTATTTCTCTAGAAATTAATTGACATCATCGAAAATTGACAACTGATTTATAATTCTGTCCTAGATTCCATCCATCAGGTATTACATTATTGGTCACAAGAGTATTAAATCTCTACATAGGGGCGGACCTAGGAAGGAAGTTCAATAGGGGCGAAACCAAAAAACCTTAGAAAAAAAATCTGAAAACCCAAAAAATTGTAGACAAAAAAACTTTAAAAAAATCTGAAATTTTGAAGAAAAATTGAGAAATTTGAAAATTTAGGGGGGGTGGGGGGTGCCCAACTGAACCTCATGTAGGTCCGCCCCTGTCTCTACATGTGTAGCAGGTCACATGGCTGTAAGTTAAGCAATATGTCACCCCATCACTTTTCGAGGTGATGAATTGACATCCCATTCTCGTCTTCCGTTAATAGGGGGTTGTCTTTGTTCCCTAGGAAGTTTTCCGAGAGTCTTCTACTCTAACGACTTCTTTTTGGCACTAATTTCGTTGGCATCTCTAAATATTGGTGTCACCAGGTCCAGGGTTTGTGTTTATTTTGTCTTTCACGTATGAAGTCAACAAGGGATATGAACTTTCTCAAAAAAGAACAAATTATAAATATTTTAGGGTATGTGTTTCTTACACGACCAAATTGTCTTTGACTTTCACACAAGATTGAACATAAGTAAGATTATCCCGTAACCTCACAAAATTTAGCATTAATATGTATATAGATATGTTACATATCTCTCATCGATCACCTAACATATTGATTGAGGTTTTAAAAATATTCTTACGGCTGCAAATAAAAGAAAAAATGAATATAAGGGAAATTAAATAAGAAAAAATAAGTTATGTGGAGATCACTTCTTGTTGATAGTGTTGCGATTGGAATGACTTTATTTGCATGATGCTACACTTCAAAGTCCTTTCTTTTATCTGCCCATAAACCAAAAAAATGTCGAACAAAAATCTATAAATTTATATTCTATATCGAGTAATAGTTTTGATGGAGAATATTAATAAATTTGTTCAAACCTGCAGAGTAGAAATGGTTTTTAAAAGCTCCAAGCATTCTTGTAATAGCAGTCTCTCTTGTGTCACTACTCTCGCTAATTCAACAAGTGCCCCTGACGTCGTCTCAACCTACAAACATACTTTCAAACTTAGTCCTTTTTTGAAACTGGTTTTTTTAAAATCGCTTGCTCTGTACTCTTTTTCTTTTTCAATCACATTCTGCATTAAAGTTGTTTTTTTTTTTTTTTACATTTTCCCATAATTTTCTCTACTTCTTAACCTCATTTTCTTCAAAAAAAAATAAAAAATAAATCACTTTTCACAAATCACTTCTTAAAAATTATTTTCACTTAAATTTGGACATTACTTTTCAATGAGGAAATTAATTAATTTCCAACGACATTGAGGAAAATTGATTTTCTTGATTGCCCCACCCCTACTTTTCTCTCCCATATGTGGATGTGGAAAGGATTGAACAATGAGTTTCAACTATATGAAAATTAATTGGTGCTCAATGAGGGCAAGCTAAACATTTTATGACATTCGATCACCATCATTTGAGTGACCAAACCCATGGACATAAGAGCGATTTTGTTGCATCCCAACAATCACTCCTCAACATGGTGCTCTTGTGACTAGAACTAGTTCTGATACCTCTTATTATGATCGAATTTCAACCATCTCATCTTAAATCAATTGGTGTCCAATGAGGACAAGCTACAACTTTTATGAAATTCAATCACCATCATTTGAGTGATCAAGTCCATGGACTTAAGAGTGATCTTGTTCCACCCCCAACAGAATCAATGATAAATGTATAACAGTTAAATTAACGCTTTGCTATATTTACCGTAGGTGCAGATTTTGTTAACATCAAGTTGATAAATGCTGAAACATCTGATGCATGGCGAATAGCAATGGAAGCTGACAGTGGTTCCACCTGAAACTTTTGTAGCATGTTAAAATTCATACAGTACAAGAACCATAATATTATTCTGGGATATACACACAAGCTTACCTTGGCTCCTTCAACAAGGGGCATCCTACAAACGACAGAATGCAAATAATGTTTGGTAGTAGACACTGCTGATATATGGTCTCTTTCCATGTTGCCCCAAGTTTCTAGAACCGTTATCTGTGTGGTCATAATACACACATAACAATGGTAATTCGAACTTTTGTACGTGAAAGTAATGGTCATAAAATGGTAAATTGTGTATTATACTAACTTGAGACTGAAGAATGTAATATAATTTCATCTCTAACTTTTCCTTTTGTAACTGTAGTTTCTTTTGAATCACGGAGTGCTGTAGTTTAATGAGACCATCCCATGCATATAACAAGTTGCTCTGCAAAAATTACACAAGAAATATTTATCAGTTAAGGTTGACAACTTTAAACAGATTAATTTATCAAGCATTTCATTTTCATTAAAGAAAAATACAACTTATATCAAGTCCACTTGGCAAGTGTTGAATATTGCAAATATTTATATGTTCATCGAAAATATCACATGAGATTTTGATTAGTTAACGTTCATGGGTTTCCCACAAATTGACCAATTCTATAGAGAGTGCGTGAAAAATAGAACAAGTCAAGCATGAATAATGCTCTCTACCATGCTAGTCTAGCTAGGTGGAATTAACTGATAATGCTCAATATTGTATGAATATGAGAGCGATTGCAATACCATGCGTGCTAGATAGCATTACTTGTCAAGTACTATACATAAATATACCTCGACTTTTTTGATGATGTTCCCATTAACGGTCTCAGCTCTAGCATTAGAATACCTCCATTGCATCAACCTGTTGTGCAGCAACCTCAATTGATGAACACTATCCGAGGAGCCGGGTCCGAGGGGCGATGATGTATTTGGAGAAGATTTCTTACCCTTCAACAATTCTATCCCCATACTGAGGAGACTCCCAACTCCTTTAGCCCTTGAAGGACTTGATGGAGGCTTTGAATTCCATATCCCTGTAATATTCCCTTTATTATCATCCAGCATCACTGGCGAGCTCGGATGCCCTGGTGACAATTCCCACTTTGAACTGTTCTTCTTCATTGAATTCTTTGACGTTAATCTTTTCGGAGAATTATCTGATGATGAAATTGGCTTCTGAATACCAGAATCAGCACTCCATCTTCTAGATCTTGAGAATGAATCATTCATGTACTTTGATGCCACTGCAATTCCATGCTTTCTTGAACTCGCCGTTGAACCCATGTAAGACGCTGGGAAATTTTGTCCAACGTCAAGGCTTCTGCCTGAACATATATCACTGTATTCTGAATCCGAGTCTTGTGTATCGGAAAAAGTCTTTCTTCTCAGTGAAGTTTCATCAACTGAAAATCTTCCAGGAGCTATATAATCATTTTGTTCGTCAACTGAAGTTGAATTCTTGGACGACGAAGAATTTGTTGATCTTCCAGTAAATTTCAACCTCCCAGTGTAACGCATGGATCCTCCGAAACCCGATTTATGATTTTCTTTAGCAATCTTCTTCTGATGATTTTCAAACCTGCTAAACTCGGTGCAACTTCTTTGCCTATTAAGAAACATCGAGTCATCAGATTGCTCATTGTTTTTCCTTTCTTTAAGGTCTTTTATTCTGTCATTTCCGAGGTGGTCCGCCAGTGTATCGAGTTTAGATTTTGAAGGTGGCGACAATGTTGATGATGGCCAAAGTCCTCGTAAAAAGCCCGACTTTTCGAGGCTTTTGTGCTTTCGCGAATCAGTAGATGATCGGGCATTTTGCCTTAGTGGAGAAAGAGTGTTGTTTGGGGATTGGAATCCAATTTCAGGTGACGATATAGAGTTTGGGGATAGAAATCTTGATTTCACTTGTCGAGAGTTAGGCTTCTTTGGCTTCGAAGTTCGATCAAAAACATCCATGGTTTCTCCTCTGAGACAGACACAGAGTTTTAACTTTAAGATGTAATCAAAATCCTAAGTTGTTGGTTTGTTAGAGAAAATGGATGAGATATAAAACAAATACTACTGGAAAAGCGGCGACAAACAAGATATGAAGCCGGCTAGCCTAAGGATTTATCGTTAATGGGATTATAGAATGACGTAAATAACCTCGCTGACTATGGGATTTCTATAAAATGAGGGTGGTTTTGGGGATTTAAATTGCCGGTTTGACTGGGTTGAGTCAGTGGACTGTGATAGGAAAGTTGAGGAGCAAATCAATGAAGTTTAAATATTAATAAATTTATCAGACGGAGGCTTGGTTTATAAATGAGAGAGAAGAATGTTGTTTGAGGATTCAATCGTTTAGGTTAGCCGGCATTTTAGTTGTTTTGATTTGGGATAATGACGATTTGCCACTAGTCATCAGTGATTTGAGTAAATCGTGGATCGCGTCAAAGATTTAGTCTGTGTTTGGTTTGCATTTCAGTTTTCAATTTAATTAATCTTTCGGTATTTGTAAAAATAAGTTATTAGTAAGTAATTATTTTCAATACTCAATTACAATACGTAAGCACAAACATAGTTACATAGAGGCTAAATCAAATAATATTATTCACCTTAATCCACCGTATTACTATCTACCTAATATTATTTATTGTAATTTTATTTTAAATTTTTTATACGATCTAATTCATATACCAAATGCAACCAAAAGGCAAAGTTATAATACTTTGTAGTTACTTAAGTAGGCAACTAATTAAATGGGCGGTGTGACTAGTCGAGATTTAATTTAATTAAAATTATAAAGTTGTTTAAGTTCAAATTCTACTTATTGATTTTCTTATCTATTGTATGATACATATAAGTTATAACTTAGAAATAACACGTATAAATGCTGCGTATTCTATTAATTTTACAATACATACATGTAATACAACATCGTATTGGCCAAAACAAACATGTTCTTTTTGAGGAGCTTGAGTTAATCTTTTTACTTAATCGAGCACATCGGCGATTTTTGTCATTCTAAATTACATAATTAGACGAAGTTACCATAATTTCAATAAAATAAAAATATTATTATCTGATGGAATAAAATTGAATAGTGGAAATTACATGGAGCCCTACATTTGAAAATTCAATTTCCAAAATCAGATTTGGTGTTTTAAGTTTCAAAAATCAGATATTTTAATATATAGATACATATTTTTTATATTTAATTAAATATTAATAAAAATATTTTGAAAATTAAATTATAAACACCCCACCCCATCCCACCCCACCCCACCCCACCCCACCCCTAAAATGATAAAACCTAGTTCTCGTCATATTTCTCCCCGTCTATCGCCGCTCTCTCCCC